GGAAATTTGTGTCGGGTTACGACCAACTCGGGATATGCCCAGAGTCACGGAACGGATTAAGTTCGTATCCCGAGGTACCACTGTACTGCTGTATGCAAATGCTTAGGCACTCCTGGTCATGTAAGTACTTCATGGTCAACTTGAAAGAATGTTTCAGATCATTGACTTGCTGAAATATCCAATTCTTTTCAGCTTTCAATTTCTCGCTGATTGTGGTGAAGACCAAGAAAACTTCTGCTTGAATGGCCTGAAAACTGGTCAGATGTACAAAACAAAATAAGAGATCACCACAAATGACCTGCTGAAGTTTAATTGACACTGGAATCACTGTCCATAGAACAATATTGCTTATACAACAATGATCTACATGGGACAGTTATCAGAAACAACCTTTTCTTCAATCTCATCATAAACGTTATTGTCTCAAGTATGCAAAAGAAAACTTTTACAAGCCTGCAATCTTTTGGACCACAGTCCTTTGGATTGCTGAAACAAAATTTGCACCTTTTGACCACAACACAAGAGACTTTTAGAGAAAAAGAAGTGAAGCATTTGAAGAAAATAACACCTTACCAACAGTTAAATATACAGTGGGGCAAAAAAGTATTTAGTCAGCCACCAATTGTGCAAGTTCTCCCACTTAAAAAGATGAGAGAGGCCTGCATAGTTGAGGTATACCTATGATGAAAATTACAGGCCTCTCTCATCTTTTTAAGTGGGAGAACGTTTCAGTTCATTGGCTTGCTGAAACATCCGTTTCAGTTCATTGGCTTGCTGAAACATCCGTTTCAGTTCATTGGCTTGCTGAAACATCCGTTTCAGTTCATTGGCTTGCTGAAACATCCGTTTCAGTTCATTGGCTTGCTGAAACATCCGTTTCAGTTCATTGGCTTGCTGAAACATCCGTTTCAGTTCATTGGCTTGCTGAAACATCCGTTTCAGTTCATTGGCTTGCTGAAACATCCGTTTCAGTTCATTGGCTTGCTGAAACATCCGTTTCAGTTCATTGGCTTGCTGAAACATCCGTTTCAGTTCATTGGCTTGCTGAAACATCCGTTTCAGTTCATTGGCTTGCTGAAACATCCGTTTCAGTTCATTGGCTTGCTGAAACATCCGTTTCAGTTCATTGGCTTGCTGAAACATCCGTTTCAGTTCATTGGCTTGCTGAAACATCCGTTTCAGTTCATTGGCTTGCTGAAACATCCGTTTCAGTTCATTGGCTTGCTGAAACATCCGTTTCAGTTCATTGGCTTGCTGAAACATCCACAGGCCTCTCTCATCTTTTTAAGTGGGAGAACTTGTGCAATTGGTGGCTGACTAAATACTTTTTTGCCCCACTGTACAGGAGGTTCTATGATACTCAGGGATTGTACAGCAGCCAGTGGTACAGGAAATACTGTATGCGTGAAAGGGGGAATAGATTTAACTAAATATCAAGGTATCTGAAAAGCAAATCTGTGAAAGTCAGTAAAGAAACTGAAGCTGAAAAGAGTTTGGATGTTTCAGCAAGCCAATGAACTGAAACATACTTCCAAATCAGCCATGAAGTTCTTACAGGAAAGAAAGATAAAACATTTCAGAAAAGCCCTCACAGTGCCCAAATGTCATTATTATTGAAAATCTGTGAGGATATTTCAATCCTGGTGTGCATGGAAAGCTAAGATTGTTTGATTATGCATCTGCATTTGTATCCACTGCAACCAAAGAAACATTTCATGTTTATAACAGTAACATATAAAATTAACAATTACACAGACAAAAGAAAGACAAAAAAATTAAAACATCCGCAGTAAGGTTAAAATTTCAGTGTAAAATTGTCAAACTAAAATAAATAACACTAACAGATGTCCTATCATTCACCATGTGTCCTGAATAAGCTTTTGAAAGTTTCTAGAAGGCTAAGACTCTAAACGCCAGTCTAATTCTACTCTCATGGACTTCGTAGAAACAGGAGATTATCTTCTCCCATAATGTGCAAGTTGGGCAGATCAATTCTGAATGCCGGAGCTAGTCTTTCAAATACCTCAGAGCTAAGCTACATACAACATTATGAATAATGACAAGCACTTTTGAGTAACACCCAGAAGTTAAGAGGCAGCCAGTCAAGACCCACAGCACAGATGCAATATGCAAGTGGGAATGAGCACCAGCTAATAACTGGATTGATGCATTCTGGACTAAGTAAAGCTTCCTAGTGGTCTATATAGGCAGCCCCATATAGAGTACACTGCAATAGTCCAAGTGCATGGTGATGACAGCATGAATTACTTTTATGAGGTTCTCTTGCTCCAGGTAGGGGCGTAACTGGTGCACTAATCAGAGTTGGGCAAAGGCCCTCCTGGCCATGGTCTCCACCTCTTGCTCATGAGGACCCCCAAGTCATAGGCACCTGATCATTCAACTGAATTGGTCATAAGATTACCAGGAAACTTTTTAAGTGCTCGCCAGAATCCATCCAGTTCCATAAGACACCTAGGGCAGCCCATCTTATTTGGTCTGTTCATTCTATGAAAGTGACAATCTGTGACCTGACCACATCAAAAGGCTAGATCTAATCACCACCATACAGTATTGCCAGTCACCCTTCTCCTCTAAACAGCAAACTTGGTGTCTCCTACCAAACCTTTTTCAATCTACCACAACTGGAATGTATCTGTTAACTACTTCACCCACAATCTCTGCTCTCTAACATCCTAACATACATTCCTTCACCCAGGTTGCAATCTTGCAAACACATTCCACTATATAGTCAAGGTGTCAGCAATTTCACAGTGCTACTCACACCGGCACCTCTAAAAATACACATTCGCATACCAACTATTAAGACATAGCAGACAATCATAGACACATGGAGAAACAATACAACTGAGAAGTATCCTCCCACTAATGCTAATTACCATGGGTTTCCCTTATTCCCTTTTCTCTCCTTCCAGCAGATGGCAGGTCCTAGTCAATTTTCTCCTCACAGCCAAACTGAGTGCTCTAGTCTGGTCCTGCAACAGGGCCCACTAGCATAACTACCAGTCACTCGGATTATGGTTGCAATCACTATGTACTGGGAGCTGCTCAAGGGAAGCAAAAGCAAAAGCCCCTACTCTCAGTTCCGTCCTTCCCTTCTGCAAGAATCCCACAAATACAAATATCCAACAACAGCACCACTTCCAGTATCCTCTACCAATCACAATCAGTTTGGAAGATGGTAACATCACATTCCTCTCATTTTCATCTGTCATTGGGGGCTCCAGTTTGCCATTGGAGCTACTCATCTGAGGTTCCAAACCTCAGAGGACTTCACCTTCAGCCATCCCTTCTCTTCTGCTCTTTACCTTCAGCCATTCCTTCTCTTCTGCTGGACATTCTGTTAACAATGGCAACCCACATGGAATCCCAACATCTCCCCATTGCCACGATGGGATCCCAACATCTCCTCGTTGCTACAATTTCGACAAGCAGCCAACTGCTGCCTTCATTATTGTCATGTTAGCTCAGTTAAATTACAGTGCTGGAGAACACCAACCAGATAGCTTCACTGCTCTCATCTCATCTCATTACCAATAGCTAAATTTCCCCAAGTTTTTCTGGTCTCTTATCTCCAAATCTCTCATCTCCACAGCAAAACTACCCCCTGAATGCCCAATCTGGCTCTATTCAAGCCAATTTCAGCTCCAGGAGACCAGATCTAGGATCACTCCAAGCACTACATTCACATCTACAAACTTTCTTCTCAATCTCCAACACTGGTACCAAAAAACCAATTCAAAGACCAAACCCACCAAGAAAATGATCCTCATCAGATGCCATTTCTGAGCTAGAAGAGCTCTGCAGGGAGAATGGGGGAAAATTCCAAAAGCAAGAATAGAGAGATTCTTATTTGGCTAAAGGAAATGTTTGGAAGCTGTTATTTCTGCCAAAATATGGTCTAATGTTTGCAGCTGCCATATTGTTTTCCAACTCTGAATCTGTAAACAACTGCATATAAACTGTGCATATACATTCCAAGTTTGAAGAAAGATGACATGTCTAATTTTGTATGATGTAGAGCTGTGTTCATTTAGGGATTCCCTGAAACATATAATTCAACCAGAGTGCCTATAGTTTGCAAAAAGTTGTTTTTAGAACAATCTGCACTAGGTTCATAGGATTATAATCCAACATTTCTGAATGGAACCAAGTTAGGGAAGACTACTGTAAAAAAGGGGGAAAGAGGAAGACAACTGGCCCAGGATTTTTACTGAAAGCATCTACTGAAGCTAAATGCAAAGGTGTAAACTTATTTTTTACTAAATTGACATGAAATTTATACTGACATGCAATTTAATGAGAACAACCATTATCAGAAAATTACTCTATTGCTTCTTTGCCTTTTTAAAGTATTCTGTTTCACAAAAACTGCTTCTCAGATTATGCTGAGCATAAAAGAAAGTGATTCTCACCTTCTGTGGACTAGCATAAGAAGCAACAAATCCTCCACCAACAGCAGCAGCTATCCTGGTAAGTATTTGCTTTCCCTGCACTCATTCACTTATGAAAGATTGAAAGGGTTTTTTTATAGAGGAAAGAGCTGTCTTATCACCTACTTTGATAACTACTGTAGCAAGAATTATATTCTGGATAGAAGATATGAGATTTGACTTTCCATGCTTTGGATACATGCCTTTGGACAGGAAGTTGTTTTGATTCTGATCTTGAAGTGTGGACAGATTTTTAATACTTAAATGTAGGCACCACTTGACTCCAGCTAACTTTGGGTGTCCCACAATATAATACCATAAAAAAACAAGACAAATTATGTATTTCTTCACTTTCCAAAGCACACACAGTATAATCTACAGTAATGAAATATGGACACCTACAAAACGTATTAAAAATTTGCCATATTTTCAGTAATTCTGCACAAATCACATACTAATTTCAAGTATCATTAAAGAAAATGAATTGCAGGGGAAACTAGATTAAAAATTTACATATGCATCAAACAATGCATACTTTTCTGGATACATTCAGTCTTTCTAAAATAAATAATAAAACACATGGGTGGAAGTTCTGGTGCAATTTCTGTGTACAGATAATCCCCAGTTTAAGAACAAGTTCCATTCCCAAGGTCTGTCCTTAAGTCAAATTTGTATGTAAGCCAGAACAGTATTATTGCATAATACTGTATAAATAGTATTGTGAAATTAACTCGAACCACTGTGTATTTGACTCAAATCATTGTGTATTTAACTTGAATTTTGCTACAATAGGCTCCGTTCTTAACTATGTGGTCTGTAACTCGGGTGTTCTTAACCCAGGGACTACCTGTATATCAAAGGCAAGAGTCACATTTATCTTAGGGCCTAAAATTACATTATCTAATTCATGAAAAGGGAATGTATAAACTAAGTTTAATTAAGCCCAAACTTAATGATACAAAAAGTCAAACTACAATAAAGATTCTTCTTGAAATTGCAGCTTCAGCAATAAATAATTATGTCAACTTAAATTTGAAAACAGGTACAGCCCAATATTCTAGGAGGCTTTAAGGACTCCATACTGTACAGAATTCCACCTAGGAGCAATATATGGACACGACACTGAGGTTCCAAAGAAAGAATGATTTTCTGGGTGTGCAGAAGCTGGGGTTTTTTTTCTTTTCTTTTTTTTTTAATGATGTAGCAAAATCAACTGTGTGAGTAGCATATGGTAGCATTCACCAAAAAAAGCTTCTCTGTGCACCCAGAACAGCTTCTCTATGAACAGAAATCTATTTTGGCATTGGCTGCATTGAAAAACTGGAATTCAAAAAGGATCTTCAAATATCTATTAGTCTATCTAAAAGACACAAGAAACCAAATTTGGCCAATTACTCACCCTGACCATCACTTCCTTTCTACAAAGAAAATGTCAAAAATCAGTCCAGATTTTGGTGATGGAATATGCTAACCTATCAAGAAAGAATATATGATATTTGCAAGAAAGTCTTTTTCAATTCCTCATTAATTCCCTTATGGTGATAGTACCTGTGATATAATGCTTCCAGGTGAAGGAAAATTTTAACACATTTGTAGATGGCATAAAGCAGGGGGGAAAAAAGATCAAAATGATCTTAGTAGAATGGAAAACCTGGCTCAGAAAAACCCAGGATGAAATTCCAAATACTGTAAAGACATGCAAATTTGCATTTTGGCTGGAGGTGGACAATTAGGGAGTTTAAAGAACAAGTTAAACAGTAAGGCTATTTGTAATGCAGCCAATGATAAGTTGATTATGAATCAAATGTATACTGCAGCAAAGGGCTAAGATGGTTTGACTTCTTGATCACAGAATTCCAGTGAGAAATTCAATTTATGGTTCCACTAATGGTAGGCTAGGAAGAAGGCCATTCCCCTACTTTCCTGAAGCCTCATAGAGAATTATATTAAGGAGATTTGGGGAACTCTAGGGTGCTACAGGGGAGAGAAGAATATCCTATTGTGTGAGCAGGCATCAACTCAGATGACTCTGAATTTCACCCATTATTATTAACATTATTATATTTCCTCCCCCCCCATGGTTTTTAAATCCTGGAAAATAATAGTTCTACTCATTCTATGTATACAATGTGTTCTACATCATTAGTGTTTCTACTCTTCAAATCTTCAGATCCAAACTCACAACAACTCATGACTGTCCCCCATCATAGCAATTATTAGCATTCATCAGAGCCAACTAGCTTTTCTCAAGCTGGCCAGTGAGGCAGCTCCAAAACTGTTCTACTGCCGCAGCCTACAGTCTAATAAACAAACTTTGAGTCCAAAGGAAGTGTCAAGACTTGCCATACTGACTGTCAGACATGCAAGATTGATGTCAGCCTTGCAAGGTAGTCCAGACAAGAAGCACAACCAGAAGTACTAGCTTTATCTTTACTGTAAGGTTACATTAACAGAATCTTGCAAGTCTGACAGTGCTCCTCCCTTCCTTCACTTTTACTCTCCCAAAAACTAGTGAGGGTCCCTTCTGAGACACTTTCGCCACCCTTCCTCCTTCGAACTCAAACTTTGTTTATCAGACCATTGTCTAGGCTGCAGCTCTTCCTCCTGTCTCCCAAGGTCATTCCCACATACCATTACATCCTGTCCCCCTCCCCTGGTCCTGTCCTTTGCCTTTTCCTCCCCCCCCCCTTATTGCAAAAACAAAAGCAAACAGCCCTGTGCCAAGTGATGAGTATCTGGGAAGCCAAGTGGTGAGCCATCTGAGGGTGGGAGTCTGACACCCATAATCTCAGACCGCAAAATTGAAGCTAGGGGCTGCAAAGCTGAAGAAAAGCTGCTCATGGAAGCCTGTGGACATAGTACCACGGCAGAAGTCACACCCAAGTTCTGTGTGGAAATGTTATTAGAGCATTGACAGTATCCAACTCTGAGCATCACACTTTGAAGGTGTAGGTGAATTAAAATATATGCATGGGAATGGAATGAATATGACTGGCAAAAAAAAAACAAGGCCTACAAGGACAAAGTTGATGGAACTGGGTATCTCTTGCCTCAAGTAGAAAAGACTGAAGAAAAACATGGAGGTACTCTTCATAGTCTTCAAATATCTTATACAGAAGAGGCCAAGTACTGACCCAGTATTTGGGTGACTCAGATGACCCAGAGGTGAGGAATCAATCTAACAGGCTTAAATATATGTTGGTTGACAACTATTAAGAAACCTCTTAATATTAAGAGCAATCTGGCAATGAAATCAATTACTGGGAGAGGCTCTCCCTCACTGAAAGCCCCTATCTTTAAATTTCCTTCATCAAGTATGCAATTAGACTTAAGACCCCTTAACTTTGTGGGTTTAATTCTGAAATACAGATTTGTAGGTCTATCTGTGATATAAATATAGACAGGGGCTACATTCAAATGAATCTAGCTATGTAAGAGATGACTACAATAACTTGTTGCCTAGGCTGAGCTGTAGCTACCTCCTGATTCTTTCTCCTTTTGTCTTTTCTCCCTTTAATCCCAAAGCTGCAAAGTAAACAAACAAGGGAAAATCTAGAGTCTAGCAGCAATTTTAAAAATGGGCACAGATCCTTGAAAATGTACCACCCCCCACTCCATTTTTAGACTAAATGTTAAGATACCTGTATGTGTTAAAAATCTGAACGTGGAAGGGTAATGACAGTGCAGTGCAGTGCAGCATAGCATTCTCATCTGCTATGCAGTAGCTCAGCCCTAGTAGCACATTAGCAGTATATGCTGAGCACTTCTAAGCACCAGTACTTTGCCCTTGGCCAGCCTTTCCCAACCTAAGTGCCATAAATGTGCAGATCAACTTCCAGAATTCCACATCTAACGTGGCAATTCCTGAGAATCCTGCAAGTTGAACTGCAAACATCTGAAAGACACCAAGATTGGGGAAAGCTGCTCTAGGTAAAGTTTGCTCACGTTATATTTATCAATCAGTTCTTCCCAATCTAACAAATCTTTAAATTTTTTGAACAATTTCTGTCCTAACATTCAATAAAGAGACTATACCTATATGAATGGCCTTCTTATGTAGTTCATTTAATTTTTGCAGCCTTTCTTCATTTCTGGCTTTTAATTGATCTATATTGAGACTAGAGTTCGAGTGCAGAGAGCTGTTGTCAAACTGTGGTGGTGGAGTCACCCTATGGGAAGCATCATCCTACAGATAAAGAGAATTATGTTAGATTAAACTATTATGAAATACTTGCCAAGTCAACATTACTGGAATTGCCAAAATAAGCACATCTTCAACCCAAATAATTTGAATACAATACAGAAACATTACTAAAGAAAGTGCTAGTTACTTCATGAGTCTGTCAGATGCTCACTTTCCCTAGGTTACCCCAACATACTTTCATGGTTGATTTTTATAAGTCCTCACTCCTATGCTAATAATAAATTTGTGAGAGGCTGATACTGGCTAATAGCTGGTATTAAAACACCCTCATTTTGCTTACTATCTAATACCATATATTGGGCTGGAAAAAAGGACAATAATTTTAATTAATTTTTTTCAGAGTTGTGGATTAGCTCAATAGCCATCAGCCTTGTAACTCTATACTCAGAACTCTACTGTCAGTAAGCATAGAATGAAAAAGATAGATCACAGAAACACACACACACTCTTACAGAATCTAACTGAATAAGGTTTGTTAAAATGGATGGTAGGATTTGATTTCAGTAAGAATTAGGTGCACAAAGCTTCAACAGAACAAAATCCAATGGATTCCTTTACCTTCTTCTTTTCTCTCCTCCTTTCCCTTGCAGACACAGGCGGTGAAGGAGATATATTCATATTGAAGTTATGCTCTTCTAAAATTGGGTAGGTTTCACCATCTGTATCTAGGAGAAGAATGTTTCAAAATATAAGTACATACTTGGATTTTTAAGCAATATTCATGAAAATATAATGCACCCAATATGCTCATGACTTCTTCAAGTCTATTGAACATCATTCGTGCAAACCACAAACATTTATGCATCAAAAAAGTCTTCTCAAGGTAACATAGAGGACAAGTCCATTTTTTCTTTTTTTTTCTTTTTAATTTAAAACATTTTTTTTTAAAAAATAATGTCTATAGATGGACAGATTGTTTCTAAAATTGTACAACTGATGTTCAATATAACATTAATAAAAGATACCAAGCAAAGTACATTAAGTTGTTTTTATATTAAGAAGGAAAAAAGAAATAAAATAAAACAAAAACAAAATCTCCATTATGTCATTGTTTATAAATATTTAAAAAGAAAGGAAATAAAAACATCCCTAAAAACCATATAGATATTTGATTTCTGACTTCCGCTTTCTTTGTTCTCCAACTGATTTTCAGCATTTGATATAAACTTTAGAAACCATGATCTAAATGTTTGTATTTGCCTTGCTGAATTATGTGTTTTATATATATGGAAGCCACTTTGCTTGAATTTTGTTAAAGTTCTATTTTGTATGTATTCTGTTAGTCTTGCCATTGCTGCATATTCTGCAAGTCCATTTCTGAAAGCAGCATTCATCTGCTCATACACATCCAAGAAATATCTGGTTCTCCACTGGGGAACAGCAGAACTTTGATTCCATCTCTGTGATCCACCCACAGAACAATGTTACTGATAGTCCTTCGTTAACGACTGTTAATTTAACAATGGTTCAAAATTGCATTGGCCTCAGAAAGGCTGTTTTACGGCACGTAAAGCACTTCTGGCTGTTGTAAAATATCGTAAAACGTCCTTAAGATTTGAGGTCTGTGACTGTCCAGCACTGAAGGAGGAGGGGAAAACTCCTAGCACTGGGCAGTCACGGAGCGCAAATCCTGGAGATCCGAAGTCCGCAACTGCCCAGCGCTGAAGTGGGAGGGGAAGTTGCTGCGAGGTTTCCCCTCCCCCTTTGGTGTTGGGCAGTTGCAGACCTCAAATCTTCAGGTGCTCCGTTCACCACTGAGAGGGGAAGGGAAAGAGGATGGAGTGAAAGGGCTTGTCTGGTGAAGGATTTCAGCTCCATGTGGAACTGAAATCCTTCAACAGACAGCTTTCACTCCATTCGCTTAACACCCTGGGAGATCACTTAAAGATCGCAACTGGGAGTGCCCGGATTGCAGTCATTGAGCGAAGCAGATTCCAGTCCCAATTGTGGTCATTAGGCAAGGACTACCTGTATTGTGTACTCAGAATATATACCATAAATAAAAATGAAGTAAGATCTAAATTCCAAGGAGGTTAGGATATCAGGTCTAAGGATTCCAACAACTTTAGAGAACACCCACCCACCAAATATTATGCTATACATAGATCTCTTTTGCCCAACGTATCAGAAGAAAGCACTTAAAAGAAGAATATATTTTCCTGTCCTATAGCAGGCTAAAATGCAGTTGAAAGTTGCATCCTCATATTAAGGAAGACAGATAAATAAATGTAAGTAACATTAAATAAAATAGATCTTACTTAAAACTATTTTCATATGTAAATCGTATAAATTATTTGCAGGGTTTAACTTTGGGTTAAGAGATGAGTGTTAAGCCACGTTTTGCACAGCGGCCACATGTAATCATTCTTTATATCAAAATAGTCTTAATAGTCTGAGAACCAATTACCAACATACTTCTGTGCACATTACATTCACCCCTAGCCTCTGTTTTGGACTTGCTCCAACTAAGATGGCCAAATATCAAGGATTATGGAATATAGGATAAAGCATCTGAAAAGCACAAAATTGCTGATTCCTTGTAATTTCTAACTACAACTATTTGTATTTTAAAGATAGTTGGAATTCATCCAAATGACTTTCTAGACCTACAATTTCCAGACCTACAATTCTAAATTTGAAAGCTAGAAATAATCCTGATGTTTTTGATAGAAATATCAAATAGGAGATCACCTTTTAAGACTGAGGGCATACCTGTCTCCATTCCAACACTTATCCTACAAAAAATGTTTAAGCTTATGGAGAAATTGCAGGGCTAGTTTCTGAAGCAAAGTTAACTATATATTATGGGAAAATTGGGTCAAAAAAGTCTCCAGTAACTTCATTCAGTGAAAACCCTCACTTAGAGGACTCTGGTTTAGAAGATGCTTTAATACACTACATTCAAACTGCTATCACTGTATTTCTGAATACTGGAAAACTGGTAAATGTATCTATAGAAACCCAGAAATCTTAAATTGCTGAAAATCAATGGATTCCTTTCCTACTCTCCCTTTTCAGAAATGTAGGATGATATATGCCTTTCAAACAATAAATATTAGCTATGGATGAAATGCCACATAAACTTGGAGGAAAATGCAGTGTATATACAAGATCTATCTACCAAATGCAGAAATATTAAAAAGATACATTTACCAATAAAAGCACTCTCAGATTCCAAGAGTGAGGTTTTCATAAATCCATCTGAGTCTTCATCTCTAACCTACCAATGGAAAGCAACAGCAATGCCAAGTTAAATCAATAGGTTGTTTTGTTTTGTTTAACAAACACGTACAATATTTTTCCATTATTCCCACTTGTTCCTATAACAGCCTTTCAGAAGTAATGGTTGCATGATGCTCCGGGTCTTGACTTAATACATTACTAAATAAATGTCATACTGAAAATTTACCTTTAAAAAAGCAAGCCACAATTTCTCTTCCATGTATTCTACAAGTATATAATCCTTTGACTACCCTGGAAATATCCACTCATTCAGAATAAATTTTACTAAAGAAAGGAATAAAATAAAATAAAACCCCAATGAATCACAGCAAAGATCTATTTATCTAGTCCTGTCAACCAGATGCCTCTGAGTAGGCCACAGGAGTGCGATAAAATCTGTCCATGTTCAGTTGGCACTGAAGGAGGAAAACCCCTGATAGTGGAGGTAATATATAGCTATTGAGACTACTAGCCACTGAGAGTCTTATCTGGTCATGTGCCTAATCTCTTTTAAAGGATTAATTTATCTAATCTCTTGTCTAAATTGGCAACTATCATGTCTTGTAATAAATTCCAATTCAACTATAAACGGCTAAAGGAACACTTCCTTTCCATTACCATTCAGCACACACAATGACACTGAATTATAGTATTGTGAGAAAGATTTCTTCCTATCCAATTTCTACTTACTATTAGAATTTTATCTTCTTCTATAATGTCTCCTTATTAAAAGTAAAGAAAATCTGAAGATCTGCTTCAGCCCCTGGATCATTTTGTTTCTTCTTTATGCAGTTTTTCCTGTTCTACAATATTCTTGCAAAGTGAGATGTCTATAACTGTTTACATGGCTCAAGTTATCTGATATTCACATCTCCAGTTTGGAAGAAATACAAAATAACTTATTGTCTGAAACCAATAATGAACAAATTATTTTGCGCATGTTCAACATGAGAGTTAAACATGTCCAACTCTCAAATCTGAGGAAATGCTTTAAAATGTTCTCTCAAATAGTTAGTTTTGAGAAATTGTTTCTTAAAAGATGATTTAAAACACTGTTCCAAGTTTCAGTTTTCTAATTATGCTGAACTGTGTAGCAATTACACAGCTATTCAACACTGTCAAAAAGTGTTCCACAATGTGAATCCCAGTCCATACTCACTGTTGTTTTCTACAGAACTGAAGTTCCCCAGAAGCCTTTGAAAATTATACTACTGTACATACCACTTTAACTTAGACAGCATTAGATAACCATTAAAGATGCTACAGAGATAACCTAGATGGGACCACCCAGCACAGAAAAACTTGGAGCTACATTCCTCACATAAGAAGGGGAACTCTCTGACAAGACACTGAACATAAAAAGGCAAAGGTTCAAGGATTATGAATTAGTACATCCACACAAGTTCACAAAGTTATTGCTTCCCACAAGGAATGAAAAATGAGTAACTTAATTCTATCGTTGCTCACCAATCCCTTGTTTCTTGGTCTAGTGCTAGATACAGGATCATCAAAATCTAGGGATCCTAATAAAGCAAAGATATTGAGGAGGAAAACAGAATTAAAAACCAAAGGACACTGACAGTGTTTCATAACACTGGAATTCAGGAATATAATAAATATTATCCTTATCAGAGCCATACATTCAAAATCACACCAACAACAATATAATTTTACTGAAAAGTGGTTGGATTAATAATTACAATTACATGCAAATAAATGAAAATTGTTAGTGGAAGAGGAATAAAGTAGAAAACTGAAGAAGTTATCACAAAATCCTGCAATCTATTAGACATTTATTGATGAACTTACATAAAAATAGGATTTTCTTTATAAGTTCCTCAAAGTATTATGTATCCCTCTTCACTCAGAAATTTCTTCCCTTTTTTAATAAGTTGTTGGTCAATATTCAGCCCAAAAGTTCTGCAAACCCCCAAAATATGGGTATTGTATTGTTAACTTTTATTATATTTTTATATATTTATTCACTCTGCAGTGAAACAACTTTTTGTTAAATTTCTTTTTTATACTTTGTGCAACAAAAACTAAAAACACTAATGGAACATCCCCTTGTTAATTTTGAGCTTCTAGACATCTATACATTAAAATCATCCTCAAGATGGAGTCTCCCAGAAACATGACTTAACAGAATGTAAATAACTATGAGAAAAAAGAATGCCAGACTTCTGCCCTCCCATCTTGGGAGACGTCCCCTAGAGATGTAGGGGAAAGCCACAAGCATCAAAGGCAGAAAAACAGTACAGCAATTACCCACATTGATATGACAGAACTCAAAGCTAATAGCAATAGGTACCTACTGATCTTCTATAAGATAATGAATATTTATATTTGGATTTATGCAAGTGCACATACCAAAGCAAAGATTACTGAGCTAAATTAAAGCCATGAAAGACACATCTAGTTTGAGCAGCCCTAGCTTACCTTCTGCGTTTCTCAATTTTTTAAGTTTCTTTTTTTGCTCTCTTAGCAATGCTAGCTGTTGAATGTCCAGAGTATCATTATTGGTGGGAGGATCAGGATACATATGTCTTGTTTCTAATCGTGTTTCTGAATCTATTACATAAAATAAGGCATTTAGAAGTCTCATATCTTTCTTCAAACACACACAATTTGTTTAAATAATTCTCAGCCAACAGTGATAATGGATTTGAACAGAAACATTCAGGGGGACTAAATATTCATACACAGGAACTATATACACAATGACTTTCTTATACAATTACTATTTGAGATAATTTGTCTTACTTTTTTTATATGTGCGTTTTCAATTGTTTTGCAACAGTCTAAGCTGTGAGCTTTTGGGGGGCTTCCCAACCCCTATGTTAGTTTTTTTTCTCAAATTCCTCCATTTTTTGTTTGTTTGCCTGCTTTACAAAGTTTGGAGCTTCTTGCTCTTGTTTATAAATAGTCCTGGTTTGGGCTATCTGTTTTTGACATCTGAAACAAATACTGCAGTGTGTTTTCCTTGTATACAGTTTCAGCCACTCCATTCTATTCCTTCCCTCGATCCCAATACCATCCTTCTTTTTTCTTTCTCAACTGTCAGGCAATATTCCATACCCACTGAAAATGTTAAATGTCCATTGGACTCTGTTGTTGTTGTTGCTACACTGGGTGGGAGCTATAAAAATATTTCGTATTTTGCAAGCCCCAAGTTTCTACGTCTGCTGATAACTTCTCTCTGTATGTGATTAGCATCATTTTAGCTACATGTAGAGTAGCACTTAAAAAACTAAGATCACAATTCATGTGTAATTTGTTTTTACTGTGGTACACACAGAAATGCTGAGAAAGTGATTCTGAAGATGCTTGTTGCTTGGTTCTTTGACACCATTTCAGAGTTCACCAACTAACCTTTGTATTTAAGTTCATTAAATTCACGGATATTTTGTAGATTAATAGGATCAGCAATATCCTTTGAAGATGGCCGCCTTACTGGAGCTTGCATGCGAAGTCTAGCCATTTCAAATACATCCAGATTCTGTTTATCTTTTCTCCTACAAAAGTGATCAAAATCATGCTGAAAGGTAATCTAAATTTCAAAAATATACAAGTTCACTTAAAATCAAAAGGGAAATAAGAATTAAACAGACGATAAAAATGAGTCTAAAACAAAATGAAAAAACGTTCCAACTTTGTGAACTCTAGAAAGCCAATTAGAAAAGACATGCAGAAGCCAAAGTTAACAATTTACTAATTACAAACACTACATACAGTAACACCTGGGACAATATACATTACCATTAGTGTAGATTATTTTAGGTTTTAGGTTATTTTAGACAAACAGTTTCCATAGAAAAAAATACATGTAGCTCAGGGTTGAACTGTGGAGTCCTTGGTGCTCTCTGAGTTTGGTTGTTTGCTTGCAGATGTTTCATTACCTGGCTAGGTAGCATCATCTAGTGAGTGTGGGGTTTGCTCCCTGTTTATACACAGTAGCTTGCCCTGCCAGTGTTGGTGGGAGTTTTCTCTTTGGTAATTCCTTGATTAAGTAATTGTTTTCTACTTGACTGTTTGTCTAGCATTAATCCTTGCTTATCTGGGTGTTGCCTGCTGGAGACCAAGCTAAATCCAAAAACACTAGGGAATTCTTGGAAGCTTGGCATTCAGACATATCAACCATCAAAAGACATACAGAGATAAACCACATTTACACACCATTCAAGAGACAATAAAAAAGCTAAGAAGGAAACCAAAAAAAAAAAACAGAACACATCCTCTCCAGCAGCAGAACCTCTTTAGATCATAAACAGTTTTAGAACCAGAATCGTCAAAGCCTTATCTTCTACTCCATTGTTGTACTCAGTGAAGCTGGGCTATCAAGCTTATAGCTTGGAAGACACAATGCAATGAGAAATTCTTACAATGAAGCCACAATTATTGATACTGATATGTGAAGACACATAAAGAAGAGTATGGTACAATGCTTTTCATAAAGTAACATCTGAAGATATATCACAATGTCTATGGGACAGCTCCAGAAGAAAGAATCTATAGGAAGGAGATTTTCTGTCAATTTTACATAGAATGCATTTCAACTCTCTCCTAATGGGAGGACACCAGTTCATATACAAAAGGTATATTATGTATGATAAGAAAAGGTAGCAAACCAAAAGACCCAATACTGTCTTCAAGTACCTTTTCATTCTAAAATGTTTAACTCCTTACAAATATGTTTACTGCTAGCTGAAGTATGTATTACTGTCCCAAAAAGAGGTGTGTATTTCAGCAAATGACTTGTGACAAATTAAACTCCTTACCCTTTCACTGGCATTTCATCATCATCACTGTGCACTTTTAACAACTGCTCCTGTAGTCGCCGCTCTTCACTGCGGAGCTGCTTTCGCATCTCTGAAAGCTCATTTATCACATTCTTTCTTTCTTCTGCAAATTCAGTATTACAGTAATTAGATGCAGAATGTTTTCCTTTTAGAACTATCTGTTTTTGCCACCAGCACAACCAAAGTATAAGAAGACTTATAGATTTCTTACCATATGCGCGTAATTGGTTTCTTCTAGCTGGTACTGGAGGAGACTGAACTCTGGGGACATCCTAGGAAAACAATAAAATCAACATTAATCTAGGAAAAAATCACATCCATAAAAAGAGAAATAGCTCATGTTTACTGGCTTTGCTTTCAGGCTAAGGCCTGATTACATATGATACTAATAATATAACTAGTATTCATGTTATTTTTAAATTAAATATGAGATATTGAAGGTGGAAACTACAGCACCCAGGGAAAAGAGATTTAATCCTTCTCTTCTCAATTACATTGTCAATAACCATGATCAGCCATGCCCCTTCCAGCAACACTGAGTATTAAGAAAGAAATTTCCATTGGTTCTAAAGGCAGATATTTTCTTAATTTTAAATGCTGTACTGGGAGGACATTTGTGTTCCTTTTTTAAAAAATTACTATCTGTGTCTATCACTTCCCCATTCCTATCTGCATTTAATTTTTAAAAAGTTATTATTAACCACAATGTTAGAACAACACTTTCTTAGCACCTCTAAACCATGGAACGTATGCTACAAGCTGAAGAAGGCAAAATCAGACTTGATTTTCACAAAACAACTGTCTCATCCTACTTAACCAACTGCTTTTAGACTGAGATTTTTTTAAAGGAGCACACAAAATAGCATGGAAGTCAACTGTTTAAAGAAGTACAAAGCGCTTTTGGAATCTACTGCAAACCAACCTCTTGTATTATGTCACCTTGTAATACAATAAATGAGCTGATGTTAAACACTTTCTACCAGAATAATGTCCTGTAATGGGACTGAATAAACCAAAGTTAACCTGCAGTATTTCTTTGTAATAAACCAACCCTAAGTACAGAGCATGTATCTTCTCTTGTTCTTTCTTCTTAATGATGTTGCCCAACATTTTTTCAACATGAGAATCATTTAAAGCATTAAAGAAATTGTAGCTCTCCTTCACAGTACTCTTATTAAGATTACTGTGTCACTAAATTATCATTTTGGACATTTACTCTTCCATAGAACTATCAGAAACAGAGAAATGAATCCCCATTTGTATAAATATTAAAACACTTAAGATTACTATTAAGTCTAAACAGTGATCAAATTCTGATATTCAGAAATTGTAAAAGTCTTTGTTTCACACCTCTTTAATTTACTGATTTTTACTAAATTTAATAAATTTAGTAAACTAAATTTAATAAATTTAGTAAAAATCAGTAACCACAATCTTTTCTCATAAACATCCCAAGCAAAATTGACTTCTTTTAGTATTAAACGTGTGCAGATTTTGCAGCTATATACACTGGAATCCTTGCAAAATTGCAATCTATTGAAATTGAAATCTAATGAGCTAAACACTTTAACAATGTTACATTTAACTCTGGTATCTGGTAACTTTTTTTTTAAATCCAGCACATCCCTTCAGCATATGTCTCAAACATATACATATTTACTTGCAAAATTGAATTTTATGAAAAGGTCTAACATAAAAACTAGTTTTTGTTGTATTTTACTGTAAACTGCTTTGACTATTGGACAGTTTAATTTTTTTAAAAAGCCCTGAACTTTCAGCAACTTAGATAGTTTGTAGCAGATCTAAAGCATGGTGGCCTAGAGGAGGGGACAACCCATAGTCTCTTTCTTGCTGCAGTTTCCATTAAAATGAAATCTAGTGAGTTTTAACAATGTTAAACAATGTTACATTTAACTCTAAATGCATCCGGTAACTTTTTTTAAATCCAGCACATCCCTTTACCATATGTCTCAAACACAACCCTTGTCCCCAAAATCTTGAACATCTCTGGTATATACTTTGAGCTTAGAATGTTCAAAAATAAGAGTGTTGGAAATGCTGCATTTGGTTATATGGCAACTGAGACTTTTTCTCACAAAACACTTTAGAGACAGGAATGGGACTGTAGGCTTAGCATCTAAACCAGTGTTTTTCAAACTTGGCAACTTTAAGATGTGTGGACACTGGTCTAAACAACAGCTAAGATAATGTCAACAAAATTATTAAAGATCACCAAGGGGAATAAATATATAAACTTATATCTTGATATGGCCTTACCCCAAGTAACCTACAATCTTTCAAGAATACAATTAGGAAATACAATACTAGAAAATAATTCATGAATTATATCTGAACAATAAGCAAACATACATGTGTATAATAAGACAAACGGCTCTCCGTCAGAAGTGACCTTTCTTCTTTTACTAATGCTTTATTCTGAAGAGTTGGTATAAGAGGAGAAGGGTATCTAGAAATCTGAAAAACAACATAATGGGCAGATGAAAATGTGCACTTTTAAAACTGACCTCAACAAGTACAGTATTTACACCATAAATTAAAAAAAACATATTTATCATTATAATTTTCTTTTGTTTCAATATATTTTAATTCATAAATGTTCTGATTTGGCTCTATCTATTTTTAAAGTGGAAAACAGGTTATTTTTTAAGCAACTTATATTTATGAAGACAGAATCACTGTCAGAATAACATTACAGCATTTACATTTTTGGAAGCAAAAAATAATATGGATTGTGACATTTACAGTGGGGCAAAAAAGTATTTAGTCAGCCACCAATTGTGCAAGTTCTCCCAC